TATATTTTCTTTCTATCTATCTATCTATCTATCTATCTATCTATCTACCTTACATGTATACACAGTATACACATTATGTACACATATATTTTCTTTCTATCTATCTATCTATCTACCTTACATATTCACCACAATTATTGGCCTGTTGCTTATACTAATGGAATGGATGTTCCTTGAGGGTAGGGCCTGTTCTTGCCTTTCTTTGCACCCTATAGGCATAGTGCCTGACACATAGTAAGTGCTTAGTCAATGCTTATTGATTGACTTGTTAACTGGTTCTCAGAACAGTCTTGGGAGGAAGGCACAATAGGTATAATTTTCCTTGTTTTACAGATAAGTAAACTGAGGCTTCAGGACTGTCACGATTCTCCCAGGGCCACACAGCTAGAACAGGGTCGTGACAAGAGCAAAGGTTTCCTGAGCCCCAGTTCTGTATGTGGCATTCTTCTCCTTGCCTATGTCATAGAAATAAATGATACTTAGGGTACTGCGGAAAGAAACCCACGGTCTGGAGGGTTTCCTGGAGAGAGTGGGCTATCAGAGGGGTGAGCATTTCTGAGTGTGCTTTCCTACGTACCTCCGTTGCCAAGCAAAAGATAAATATTAGGTGGATCTCTCACATGTGCTGGGGACCTGCCTAGGACACTCACTCAACGTGACGTTGCTGAAGGTAAAGCCGGCCACTGCCGTGGCCACGGCAAACCGGAAAATCATGTAGAGGTAGAAGTCAGGGACGAAGGCCGTGCCGATGCCAAACACAGCGACGAGAAGCAACAAGATCAGCATGGTGGGCCTGCGGCCAATCCTGGGGGGGCAACAGAGACAGGGCAGGCGCGGGTGTGAGCCTGGGGGAGCCTCCACTCTGAGGAAGATCTGACACCGGCCCTGAGGAGGCCCTCCCAAGGGAGCGATGCTAATCTTGGGCTTTCCCAGGGTGGGGAATGACCAAGGAAGGAAGCAGGCAGCTTCCTGACAGGTGAGAGAAAGAGACTTCTTACCTGTCACAGAGAGGCCCAAAGATCATCGCCCCCACGAGAAGGCCAGCCATGTACACAGACTGGGAGGTCTCCTTTTCATGCTTCCGCTCACAGACCAGGTCAAACTGAAGGGAGCAAAGGAGATTTCTGTAGGTGCTTGCAGCCCACTAGGTAGGCAGATGAAATAAGTAGCCTGCAGAGCTCGCTGACGTCTCCTTTTGCGCTGCCTTTCCCCCAACCTCGAGGCTGAAGTCCCCTGGGGTGGGGGCCGTTTGTAAGTAGCGTGAAGTGAATGAATGGTGCGGAGGGAGAGCTTCCCGGGCTACATCTTGGTGCGTCATCCTTTTAAAACCAGATGGCTCTTCTGTCTCTGCATTTTCTTTTTAAAGATCTTCCCATTCCCCCACCCAGTGAGGATTTCCCCTGTACTAAAGGATGAAAAAGAAAGCACGTGTGGTGGGGCGCAGGGGGATGTTTGGCAAAATTCACCTAAATAACAACAGAGTCTGACAGTATTTGCAGGGTCTCCAACTCTACCGGAAAGGCAAGGGTGAACGGCTCATCTCCTCCTATACACCAAGCTCGGAGATTAATTAGGATCAGATGACATTCAGCTTTGGTTTATTTTCTTGTTCTTTCAACTTACATCGTATTAGTCATTGTGTTTATAATTTTCTTGGCTCTGTGGAATTCATTTTGCCACAATTCATAGATTTAGAAGAGAAACAAGCATCTGTTTAATATCTGCTATGTGCCAGGCACTGCACTAAATACTTAACAAATATTATTTTATTTGATCTTCACAACAAGGTGCTATTATTCTTCTCATTTTACAACAGAGGAAACTGAGGCACAGGAGTGAAGTGACTTACCCAGGGTCACATAGCTACTAAGTGTCTGAAGCTAGATTCAAACTCAGCTCCACCTGACTCCAGACCCAGTGCTCTATCCTGGGCTACCTAGCTTCCGCAGAGCTAGAAGGGACCTAGATCATCTGGTCCAACCCCTTGATGTTACGGATGAGGGAACCGAGTTCCGTTGAGGTTAAGTGACCCATACAGACAGCAAGTGGCAGGATCAGAATTCGAAGCCAGGTCCATTGCCCTTTCACTTGTGCCACTCCAAGTCTTTCTGTACGGCTTCTATTCCTATGCCCCTCATCCTGGGCTCCTCGCCTCTCTTGCTCTGAAGAATAGGAGAGCTCAAAAGTCATTCGCTTCAACACTTATCCCAGCAGGAAATCCTTGTATCGCACTCCAAACAAGTGGTATCTAGCCTTTCTGTTTTGGAGCTGTCCAGTGATACGGGAACTCACTACCATTTGATTTTTGGATAACTTCCATCCTTCAATTCTACTCAATTCTACAAACACAAATGAAGCGCTTACTACTTGCTGGCTACTTTGCTAGTCACAGACAAAAACGGAACAATCCCTGTCTACAAAGAGCGTGCCCTCTACTGGGGAGAGAAATACAACATCTACATAGATGAGTAAACAGGAAGTGACTTGAGAACAGAGAGATCGTTAATAACTGGGGAACTACGAAAAGGCTTCATGAAGGAGATGCCACTTGGGCACTGAAGGATGATGATCTAGAGATGTAGAATTGATGGGGAAATGTATTCTAGAAATGGGGCTGCATGAGAAAAGGTATGGAGGTGGAAACGGGAGGTCAAGTGAGAGAAACAATTGTGGAATTAGTATTTTATTCTAGAGAGCCTTGGAAGGTTTGGGGGCAGGAATGTGGGGTGCAACGTTGTCAGGAAATTATTTTGGTAGCTACGAAGAAAATGGATTGGAGAAGGGACAGCCTAGAAGTCCAGAGACCAATCAGAAGGTCCTTATCACAGTCCAGGCAAAAGGTGATGACAGCCTGAATCACTAAGATAGTAGAGAGAAAAGGAAAGATGTAAGAGTGATTGTGGAGATCTAACCAACAGGACTTAATATGCAGACTAATTAATTGATTGATGGGCCCGTGACTGAACATATTGGGAGAGGGGAAGGAGTTAACTCTAATTTCCAGAATATGGAATCAGGGAACTGGTAGAATGGTGAGGTGGTGCCCTCAACAGAAACAGGAGTTGTTCAGAAAGCATAGGGCGGCTTGTGGGGAGCAATGAGTTCTGTTTAAAACAAAAAACAAAAAACAAAAAACAAAACTGAGTCTGAGAAGCTAATAGGCCAGCTAGGCGGAGGTGTCTGGCAGACAGCTCCCAATGTAGGATCGGCTTCCAGGAGAGAGATAGGAACTAGATCTATCTGTAACCCTAGGCTGGAAGACTCTCCTTATTGGTGAAGATTGATAATTCAATGTTCCCAGCTTTTCTGAGGTGCAGAGTTTCAAGAGTTAGAGAGACTAGGGATCTTCCCGCTTCCGGCTTCAAGAGAGAAGACATGTGGTTGCAGACTCCCTTCAGCTCCCTGAAAAGACAAATATGACTCTGGGAAGAAATCGACATGAGAGCTGGCACCTGGACCATGTCCCTAGCCCCAGTTTCCTACACTAGAGGCTTTGGGGGAGTTTCCCCGTCTGGTGAGGTCTGGGACTCCCTTTCTCAGCTGAGCTGTAACCTCATTCCCAATCGGAGAGTCCATTCACTTAATATTGTCTGGGATATATTCCCCTATGCATACTTTCTCTGATTTCAGTTTTGCTGTCAACTTGGATAAAAGAGTTTATTTGCTCTGTGTGTTTATTGTGGAGCTAGCATTTAGTGGGAAGGGAATCTAGCTTGGGGTCCTCCTTTCCCATTAAGGGATGGTGATCAGGAATGCAGGTTGAATCTAAAAATTCTTTCCCCTAGACTAATAATATTTAAGGGGGCAGACAGATCTAATTCAAGCTCAGTACCTTCTCTCTCTCTCTGAGGAGAGCAGAGTGACCAGCTTCTGGCTCCAACCTCCTGGCAGGAATGAAAGTCTCCCTTGGAGAAGGGTCGGGGAGGAGAAGAGATGCTCATTCTTCCGTCCCTGTGAGCTACGTCTAGACAGATCCATGTGGACACACATAACCTACATGAGCAACACAAAACAGCCTAACCTCCCCCCCAACTTATGTAGAGTTTTAGGAATCATCCACGCTGGGCCTAAGCCATGGGGATAACGGAATATGAGGAAGCCGATGAAATCACAAGGAGTGTGGAGAGAGAAAAGAAGAGATGAGGGTCAAATCCAGCCTCCTGGGGTGTCCTGGGGACACCTGTCTTTAAGGGTCATTATGGCAAACAGAAAAGGAGGCTGAGGAGTTGTCAGAGATAGAGGAGACTTGCAGAACCCCCAGAATGACAGATCTGGAACTGGAAGAGACTTCCAGGCCATTTAATCCAAATTCCTCATTTTTACAGATGGGGAAACTGAGGTCCAAGGAAATGGAAGTGATCCACCTATCACATGGGCACTTAGTGAATACTTGTTCATTAGTTGATTACCCAAGGTCACACAAGTAGTAAGAGTGAGAGTATTGGAATTCAGGTCTTTTGACTTTAAATGCTTAAACTGTCTGCTGGGGAGACAGATAGAACATGGGAATGAGCAAACTGGAATCAATGACCTCTAAAAACCCCTTGTGGCTCTAGACTTATGAGCCCATGACACTGTCCATGGAATCTTGGGAAATCACTTAATCGCCCTGTGCCTCAGTTTCCTCCTCTGTAAAATGAGGTTGGCTTTGACGGCCTCTGAGATCCATGATTTTCTAAGGGCACTAGAACAGGGAGGCCTGGAACAGGAATAATCTGGACTTTGGAGATCTGGCAGAGGCTGGGCTTTGCCTCCCTGCTTGGTCCTGGGGCTAACAGCTTGGCCACAGCCTGGGTTTCATCCTGCTTCCTGCTATGCTATGTGGAGGAGCTGAAAGTGACTGTTTTCTCCAGCACTATCTGCTTTCTTCCAGACAGGGCTTTATCAGCAACTTCGTGCTCTTGTTATGATAAGTGACAAGCATCTATCGCTTTGCTGAAAGTAAATGTCAAGGTGCAAAGGGAAAACATCCCCACGAGGCTGTATTAAGGCTCAGGGCTCATCGGCTAGTCACCAAGACAGTAAGCATTTATTAAGGGCTTACTGTGTGCCAGGCACTGGGCTAAACATTGGAGGATACAAAGAAAGGCAAAAGACATTCCCTGCCCTCAAGGAACTCCCATTCTAATGGAGAAGACAACATGCAAACTACGTAAAAACAAGATATAGATAGGACAGATGGAAATAATCCACAGAGACAAGATACCAGAGTTAAGGGGAACCAGGAAGGCTTCTTGTAGAACAAGGATGTCAACAATGTGGCCGCTGGGCCGTATGCAGCCCATAACACTCCTGAGACTAGCCCAAATCAGAATAAAATTAATTGGGAAATAAAGAAAAAATGCAACAAAATGCAGAAAACGTGTGGTTATAGATAACATGCGGTTTTCTAGACTCATAGGGATCCTCATGCATGATTTAGTGGCCCTGGTTTCTAGCTGAGTTGAACACCACTGCTGGAGAAGGTGGAGTTGGAACCAAGCCCCACAAGCGGCCAGGGAAGCCAGGAGATGAGCGAGGAGGGAGAGGATTCCAGGCATGAGAGACAACCAGTGAAAATTCCTGGAGTCAGGATATGGAGTGTTGTATTGAGAAATGAGGAGGAGGCCAGTGTTGCTGTATCACAGACTCCATGAGGGAAGGGGAAGGGGAGATAGAAGAAGGCTAGAAAGGGAGGAGGGGGCCCTGTTACAAAGGGCTTTGAATGCCAACCAGAGTTTTATATGTGATCATGGAGGCAATAAGGAGCCTCTGGCGTTGAATGAATGAGTGGAGTGGTGCAATATGGTTGGACTTGTGTTTTAGGAAGATGGGTTTGATGGCCAAGTGAAGGCTACATGGAGCAAGGACTTCCCAATGACTTAGTCATCAGTGTCTGAGGGGCCGGGGTCCTCTCACCAGCCTCACATGTACACTTCTTCCTCCTTGCACTTAGTGAACCTCCCAAAAAGGAGCAACCACCTTGTCTTCCAAAATCATAAAAACCACAGAACATCAGAGCTATAAGAGATCTCATAGTAATAAATAAAATAATAGCTAAAATTTATATAGCTCTTACTATGTGCCAGACACTACTCTAAGCACTTGATAGTTTCATTTGAT